AATGGGAGTCTCCCACATACAGTCCGATAGAAGAGAAAATAAGCATTCAACAACCTGTTTTATTAAGGAAAATGAATGATAAAATTTGTAAAAGGTAATTTTAAGTATTTCTAGAGAAGACAAATCATTTAACTCTAATAATTAAGTCACATTTGATTATAACCAAAGTCCAACAGTTACTTTGGGCAGCTGTAAGTTAAATATTTTATTTTTTAGAAGGTGGGTCCAACTAGAAAGTGGGTTCCATTGCCCTCATGTAGTTAGATTATATGGTCCTGATTAGGTCTTACAACGTTACACATTTCTTACTAGGGTTACCTAGTAAGAAATTACCCTAGTAAGAAATTCTGTAGATTTTCCTTTTCTTCTGACCTTGCAAATACTCACTATTCCCTTAATCCTTATACTCCATAAACTCAATTTCTCTTTCTCCTTGCTTGGAGATGAGATAATAGTGAAAGAAATATCAGAAGCAGAAGTTTTGCTACTGAATAAAAGAATATTTACAACTGAAGAGACCATAAATTTAGATTTTAGGTGAATTATGTTGCACATGTGAAAACATCTTTATACAACTTGAAAAACAGAAACCTGAGCCATTTGATCATCTTCTACACCAGATTCACAAGCTGGTAGCACAGCCTCAAGGACATGAAGTGCAAGGAGCCTTGTTCTTAAGTTACCCACTAGAGGAATACCTAGAAGGAAGACAAAGACATTTTCCTATTATCAGTTCTTTTTTTTTCTTTAGGATTTATTTTATTTATACAAGAACCGGGGTACAGGCCAGATGTACGGGAGGGTGAGAGGATTCACCAGAGCCAGAACGGGGAACAGTACAGGCAGAATGACCGAAATGCACTGCTGAGGGGAGCAGCGGGCAAGACAGGAGAGGTCTGCCATGCCATGTGGGTTGCTCCGCAGCTGGCAAGGATCGAACCGGCACTGCAGAGGCTGTGGACAGCTTCACAGCACTGCACTCAACCACCTGTGCCACCAGGGAGGCCCTCCTATTATCAGTTCATAATATCAGTTATTATAAGGACTATTTAATTATCATTTCAAAGTTCAAATGCACTTTTTGGAAAAAAATCTGTGCAGTTGCTAATAAGGATTTATGGGTGGAACATTACTTCAACTTATTATCACAAGAATTGTAGACTCATTTCATACCCATTACTGTACAAGACCATTATTGTTTGTCTCACTTTTTAAGTATATATAAAGGGAAAAGCACTATGACTACCTGGATGCAGGTACTATACTATGCATTTCATACATATTAACTCCATTAATCTTTACAAGCCCTATCTGTCCTCCATCTGTCCTATCTGTCCTCCATCTGTAGGCTGAGAAGCAACTTGACCAAAGTCACACAGTTTATAACGGCAGAATTTTAAATAGGTCTATTCATCCCTGAAGCTCAGACTTCTCAAAACTCTTCTATTGTTTCTCCTTTTCTACACTCTGCCTGCCTCACAGATTGTTAGGGTTAGTGGGGAGATAAGCAGTTTGTACTTTTCTAGAGTAAGCAGAGGTAGAGACAGGACACTGAGGCTCTGTGTATAACTATTACTACAATAAAGCCAGTTGAAAATAAATGAATCTCTGATCTTTCTTTATGTTCTTACACATTAATCAATATTATATAAGCTCATCTTATTAAAAGGGGGGAAGCTAGGCTAAGCTATATTTGTTAATGAAAACTAATAAAGTGTGTTAAGAATGTATAATATGGGCCTCCTGGTGGCGCAGCGGTTGAGCGCTGGGTTGCGGGGCTGCCCGCAGCCTCTGCAGGGCCGGTTCGATCCCCGGCTGCTCCCCCGCCACCGGAGGAGGGTCCCACATGGCGCGCAGACCTCTCCTGCCGCCCGCTGCTCCCCTCAGCAGTGTACTTCGGTCCGTCTGCCTGCTCTGCTCCCCGCTCTGGCTCTGGTGAATTCTCTCACCCTCCCGCGCTTCTGACTGTACCCAGTGCTTGTATGTATGTATGTATCAATCAATCAATCAATAAATAAATAAATCTTTTAAAAAAAAAAAAAAAAAAAAAAGAATGTATAATATAAAGTAACATATATCATGGAAGATTACATTATGTTTTGGCATATTTTTATTTTTTTTTAAGATTTACTTATTTATTTATACAAGCACTGGGTACATTCAGAAGTGTGGGAGGGTGAGAGAATTCACCAGAGCCAGAGTGGGCAGCAGAATAGGCAGACTGATGAAGTACACCACTGAGGGGAGCAGCGGGCGCGGCAGGAGAGGTCTGTCGTGCCATGTGGGACCCTTGCCAGTGGCCGGGGATCGAACCGGTGCTGCAGAGGCTGCAGGCAGCTTTGCAGCCCAGCGCTCAACTGTTGCGCCACCAGGGAGGCCCTGGCATATTTTTAAAAGCCTATGGATGGTGAAAAAGTTCAGGAAAAGAAAACACTGATGGTTCAGCAGGGTTGTGAATTTACTCAGTGTCACTGAATTGTACCCTTAAATGGTTGAAATGGTCAATTTAACTTTATGTGTATTCTACCAAAATTTAAAAATAACAGATAAGGACTAACAATAATCTAGCCAAGTAGGTCATACTTTTAGGCTAACAACCAGCAGAGACGCTTATTATATAAACTCTTATAAACAGCACACAATCAGAAATTATAATCAAAGCAATAGAAAACCTGTCACTGTTAAGACATAATGGACAAATTCAAATCTGCATTTTCATAATCTAAGAAGTGAAGTAGGAAATCTGTGCCAAATTATCTTATTAAATAAGATGTTCTCTATTATTATAATCTGAACAAGTCTAGTAGAATTTAATCTGCCTCTCTCGATTAAATTCATGATCTTTTCCAATGCTACTTTCTATTAATTCCTATCAATTTTTACTTCAGAAATTAGTTTTCATTTTATCAAATACTTCAGAATACAAGAAAGAAAAGTGTTATCTCAAGGCCACCTATTCAATATTGTTAAAGTCTGACATTATCTGAATAAAATACCATGTGATGTATAAAAATATTCTAAAGTAAAGGCAAAGGTCATTTACCTGAAGAACACTTCTGAGATGCTATATTTAAAAGCACCTCTGTCCACTTTGGGGAAGCCATTTTTGATTGAATTGCTTTGGAAGATACAACTCTGCGAAGAAAAACTAAAAAATCTCCCAGATGCAGTTCAGCTGCATGTTGTTTCCGAAGAGCAGCTGTGGAATGATGCGACAAGTTTACATTACAACCAAAAGTCAACATGAAACATTCTTACATTATATAGCACACATTACACACAAACCTAATTAAAAATCTATGTGGTCAATAAATTGTTGAATTCTTAAAATTTAAAAAAAGAATGGTGAAAGTTCGGAAAATAAAGCCAAACTAAAAACACTTTTACATCTATGGAGAATAAAAAGGAGCCTGGTAGAATCAAGTGTGTATACTCATTTTTATGCATTTTTCCCCTGCTATTCTAAAAAGCAAGAATTCTCTAACAGAGTCTAGAGTTTTACTGGATAGAATTTGAGGGAGATGATCTGTGAACTCCTGAAATTATATCAAAAATCATGTATGCAGAATATTTGTTTAGTGAGATTTTATAACTATGATCATATTTTCAAAAATTGTAGGAATTCCACCCTTCCCATCTAGCCCAATCAAATTAAGAACCATTTCTCTAAAACAGACTCTGTGTTTTCAGACTCTACAAAGAAAGCAATTTCTAGACCTGGGTTTGGCTTGCCTGAGTTCAAACTATTGTAAGTGCTTTCACACAAACTTGCCCTAACCAACTCCCCAGTTTCTCCACCAGCATGAGTACCAGCCTCTATTTTATCACCCCATTTATTGTTTCCTTTGACTCTGTATTTTGAAGTCAGAGAACTAGCTTCTCTTTCTGTAACAATCCATGTTCTTGTCATCATCCAACACCCTCCACACCTTCTTAGCCTGGCAGTCCTAATCAGAGCCGGGGAGAAGTGCACCAGTGGGGTAGCTACCCAAAATGTCAATCCCTAAGGGGTACTAAAACATGGAAAATCATAATAACTAGCTACCTTATAGAGGGGACAGCTCCCAAACCCCCTAAAAGACATGCTAGATGACCAGTAATCTTCTCCATAGACATCTAGGTAACTAGAGAACTTTTAATTTGCTGAGATGAATGTACAAGTCCGTGACAGAACTAAAATGCCAGGAACAGTTGGAGAAAAAGCTAAGAATTTCTCTACATTTCTTCTACACTGTACTCTACCTCTCCTTTACTTCAATACTAATAAGCAAATATTTTTTAAAATATTAGCTTGAAGAGTATAAAATTATTAGCCTGCCCTGGGTACCAATATTATCTCACTCCAACCTTTTTCCTTATGTTCCTTCAAAATCCAGTTCAGAAAGCTACCTCTTCTATGAAATCTTCTTTCTTAGTAGAGATCCCTGGGAAAATCTCCTTTATGAGGTCCTCTTTCTACCTCCATACCCTCACTCCCAGCAAGTTTCTCTAAAACAAAATACTAAATTTATTAAATTAATTAAAATCTAGAGCCCTTAATATAAGCTAGTCGAAAGAGACTTTATACAGTTTTATTTCAGTATCAACACTATCTTTGAAATGAAAATACTCAACTTTTAGTTTAAAATTCTTACATTCTAGTTAAATATTTTAGAGGGTCTGTGGGGTTATTTCTACCTGTGCAGCCTATCTCTGAGTGCCAGGCCACTCTTGACTAGAACTGTTCACACCCTAGTTATCTCCATAAATAGTGAGTGCAAAAGCCTTGTCTCCAGGGCAACTTGAGGGGAATGGACCTGGATTTAGTCTACTGTTACCCTGTCAAGATTCACTCAGAGAAGGCTCTTTATCTGGATACGGAAGGATGCAGCTTTCTTGAGAAACTATAAGCTGAGATGTAACTCTTCTACATTTTCCCTGCTATCCATATGTATAGTACTCAGCAAAGAGTGGGGAAAATCTGTTATCTTAACAACCCTGTATTCCTCTCTGATTTTCAGGAAAACAGGAGGTGACAAACAAAACAAAAAGCTTGTTTTATTTTATCACATCTTGTGAGTATGCCCATTCTCATTGTATAAGCACTGTACTTTCTATATATAAATAGGCAAGAGAAATCTGCTACTGGTTCAGTCTCTGAAATTAAAAGCCAGTTCTTAATCAGACTATAAATTGTCCTAGATTCTGAATTAAGAGATTTAGATATTTCTTTTGAGCTTCCTGTATTCACTCAGAAGATATTTCTTCTGAGCAATTATTTGCTTACATATCTGCCTTCCTCATTACCCTAGAATGTTCTTGAGCACAAAGACAATGTTTTATCATTTTGTATCTCAGGATATTTCCTCTAGCTACACATTTAGCTATACAATATTAAGTATTACTTTAATTTTTACTGTCACATATATTTTAATATTAATATTCACAGCTCTCAATATGTGTCAGATGCTGCTCTAAGTGCTTTTACATGTATTAAATTATTTAATTCTCATAACATTTTTAGGAGGCTGGTTCTATTATCCTTACTTTACAAAAAGTGAATTGGGGGACAAAATAGTTAAACAACTTGTTCTATCCATCTGTCCATCATTGTCCATTAATCCATTCACTTATTATTTTATGCAGAAAGGGATCTCCAAGTTTATTATGTTAATAAGATATGGTATTTCACAAACTTTTTAAAATAAATGACCAGTTTTAGACCTTTATTTCCTTAATTATATAACAGACATCGGTAGTAGTTCTGTTTTTGAGGGTTTAAGTTCTGCTGAAATAAAAGGTTCATAACAGTTTCTTAAAGCTATGAGCAGAAGATCAAACAGCAACCAAAAATTATGATGGCTAAGTATAATGAAGAATTTTATTAGTATTAGGGAACAGAATATCTTCACAAGTTCAGTTCCACTAATTTTAACCCAATCAAATATTAAAACCTTTGGTCCTGAAGAACACTTAAGCTAAGACTTTGGTCAGAGATGGGTTGCTAGGATCAATTATAAGAAAACAACCTGGGGGTATCAGTCACCTAAAAGCTCCTGGTTCTACAGCCAGATAGCCAAGAAGAGACTGAACTGAGGAAGTGAGCAGTATGGTCACTGCATTAGAGTTAACAGACTAAGGAGAGCGGGTTCAGTCAGAAGTATATCCAGATTATATTTATTGGAAGAGAAAAGGGGTTTCTAATTGAACAAATAAAAATCCATTTATGCCTCACAACAGAAAGAAGTCTATATTCTAATGATATGCACACAATGGGAACTCAATAAATGCCTGCCACAGAAAAAAGTTCATGATACCTCTAAAATCTCTTTTCTCTGTTTCTCCACTGGAATCAACTTTTTTTCTTCTTCACCCTCTTCTCCTTCCCCTTCTCCAAAAGAGGCCATAAGCAGTACACCAGCTTGGGACAACAAATTCTTCAACTGACTACAGAGTAGATCCAACAAGGACTGAACTACTTTGGGACTCAGTTTATCAGCATAGGTCCTATATTAAATAAAAAGGAAAAAAAAAGTAATTACACAGAAAGGCAAATGTACTTAAACACATAAAAGAGATTGGGGGAATAAAGAAATTACTAAAATGAGGAAAGACCAGGCCCCACATAGTTCTCTCAAAACATCTATATGGCTCACCCTGTAGTGATGGCTAGAATCTGGAGCAATCTTGTACTAGCCACTTTTAAAGCTGTGCTAAGCTGGGAAACACCAGTCTTTGGCAACAACTGCAAAGGTTGTCCTAGCATGGTGTCTGTGCCACATAACTGTGAAAGTACGTTTAGCAGACCAGTAGAAATTGCTAAAGAAACATCCACTGGTTGATAGTGAACACTCAGGGCGAAAACTGTAACCAAAAGAAGACGCTGCTGGGCTTCTAAAAAAGAAAGAAGAAAAACAATTGAGAACTTTCATTGAAATAAATAACACATTTACTAAAATTAATTCATATTCCAAAATATAAATCGTAATATGGAACACTATTACATTTTGAATATTTATTCTTTACTTGTAAGTTGATGTACTAATGTTAAACACTAAGTATAGATTTTTAGCTATCAAGTATAACCTCAGGTCAAAATGTAACTTGTATCTTGTATTTGCAGGGGCAATTACTCACCAATGTGATGCTTATTTGCTTGCAGAGCTCTCTCTAGGGTGGCGGACAACTGTTGATAAATTTTATGCACAGCCACCTGGATTTCAATCTGAATATTTCTCTTAGCTGCTCTGATTCCGTCCTGAATTACACATAAAAATTTACTTTTAACAAAAATAATACCTCCTAGCCAAATAAAAGTAATAGCATTTTATTTCTAGTCTGTGCTAGAACCCTATAGTGGTTTGTTAATTCCTTAGTATAGTTTAGTATATAATTTTTACAATAAACTTATTTTAATGCTTGATAATTCCTCATTCTATCTAATCTTTTTCCTTTCCAACAAAGCAATTTTTCCTCTCTAAAAACATGGATGACATAAAGATAATACTTCAGAAAAAATTTTCAAGCAATCAGAGAAACATGATAAAATGATCAAGTCTCAAATGTAAATTCTTGAAACCCATCCTCTCAAAAAACACCCCCTATCGCAATTTAGATCTATCTCTAGCCAATTTAGCTAAGGATAAATGAACTAAGCCAGCAAAAATGCTAAAAGTACAAAAGACTATGATACATTGAACGTCATAACACAACTAATCCCAACTATACACTATTCCCAAGGAAACTAAACAAATGAGATACCTTTAAAAGATATCTAAAAGACTTTATACTTTTAAGTCACAATCTTAAATACCAAAAAGTTTAGCATTATTAAAATGGTTTTGTAAAATGATGGTTAAAATCTGAATATACTACAAGGTGCTGTCCTCACACAACAGATCCATTACCTACCTGATAATGATGTAATCGGCCACTCTCTCCTTTGGTGCCTGCAAGTCCAACAGTGCCTAAACCAAAACACCCTGCCAGAAACTGTAGCCTCACAGATGTGAGCAGTGTAGATGACTGGAGGCCTGAGCTCGACCTACTTCCAGCTAGAGAGATGCTACCTTTTTCCTCCATGCCAGACAACAGAACAAGGATCTGATGAAGTGCCTCTAAACGAAGCTTGAGAAAAGTAAAAGAAATCTACTTTAGTGTTCATCACTGAACTGAGACACAGAGGAAATGTGCATGTCACAAACAATATATTCCTCACCACACAGAAAATTCTCACAATTCTTAGGAATCTATATTATAAACACTTACTTTATTATGACTATTGAAAATCAAAATATCTCTAAAAACTCTTACAATTACAAGAATACAATGATATAATAAAGGCTATGTAGTGTAAGAGGAAAAGTAGTCAATGAGCATTGTAAGAAACCTGATTTTAAGGTCAGATTCTTCTGTCTGCTGTATGGCTTTGGGAAATTCAACTTCCTAAGTCTCAGTTTCCTCATATACAAAATGAGGCTAATAACACTTTATTTAACCTACTCACAGAGCTACTGGGATTCTCATGAGATTATATGTATAGGTTTCAAAACTGTAGATAGTATTGTTGCTGGTACCTTTACTTATAATAAACTCATATAGAATAAATACTTTTTATTTCAAGAATTATAACAAGTACTTCTGAAAGATATCTCTGCAGTTCTCTTGAATTTCTGGCCATCTTCCCTAAGACAATATTACCACAGTAGTCAATCAATCCATCCTTTTTTTAAAATAAACTACTTTGAAATAATTTTGTACTTCTCTAAGAGTTGTTAAGATACTACAGAGTTCCCTATTTCCTTTCCCCTGAAGTTAACATATAACTATGGTACATACATGAAAACTAAGAAATTAACATGTATAATACTACTGACTAAACTACAGATTTTATTTGAATTTCGCCAGTTTTCCCATAATGTCCCATTTCTGTTCCAGGATCCTATACAGGATTATCACATAGATTTAGATGCCATGCTTCCTTAGTCTCCTTTAGTCTATAATGGTTTCTCAGCCTTTCCCTATTTTTCGTGTCCTTGATACTTTAGAAGAGCTGTTCATTTATTTTACAGAGTTATGGATTTTCAGAAGAGTACTTTAGTCTCCTCATTACATTATTATTAGGGGCATATGATATCAACATACAAGTGATATTAATCTTGATAATCTTGGGTAAGGTGATGTCTGCCAAGTTTCTGCAATGTAAAATTGGTATTCCTACCATTCTCTCCTCCTTTTCATACTCTATTTGTTAGACCTGAGAATAAGTTCAGTTTACTCTCAGGGGGAGGGAAATTAACCCCCACTTCCTTCAGGAAAAAGTACCAAAAAATTTGTGGACACGTTAAAACCACAATCATTAATGAATATTTTGAAGGAGATACTTTGTGGCCATGGGGAAATTCTGTGTCTTCTTAAAATTTTGCTCATTAATTTTAGCATTCATCATTATCATTGCTATGTTCTAATCTAATCCCTTTTTAAATGAAGACAAAGGTGTCACAGATGGAGACTCTGAAAAGCAGGTCCCTGTGGTCACCAGTCAGTTTCAGTCTAATTTTCAAGAGACAAAGAAAGACTTAGAGTATCTTGTTTAAGAAATGCAATCAGAAATGCACTTCTATCAGGTTCAAGTAAAATATGGCATTTTAGTGAAGAAAATGAAGTCACAAAGCTCATGTGGAAGAAAGAGGCAAAGAGTGAAAAGAAAGGAAAAAGTTTTTCCTCCAATTGCATATACAGTGGTTCAGATTAAGTTTCCAGAGGTCCTTGTAAGGAGTAAATATTGAAGACTTACTTCTGCCCTTAACTGCTGCTGTTCCATTGCAATAATGGAGGCCTGGGGACTTGTAGACATACTTTCCTCTGGCTCTTTAAAACCTGGGGCATTCCCCACATCTCCACTCACAAAGCTTACAACATTTTCAATCAAAGTGTGAACTCCCAAAGACTTGGTAAGATCAAAATCAGATTCAAAGGAGTAAGAGGAGTTGCATAACCAGTCTCTGCTATGTTTCAGGCGAGCCCAAGAGTCACTCAGGGATTCCAATTGACTGTGCATAGGACCTACATACAA